ATGACTTTAACAGACCAGGGACTATAAACAATGTATTTAGATATTCAGTGTTTGAATTCAAGTGATTATAAAATATATAGGGTACAAAGATTTCATAATAGCACTTTATTAATGTATCTTCTGCAGAAAATTAATAGCTTCATTCTTCATGAAGAGAATGTGAATGGAAAGAGGAAAGAAGAGAAAGCAAAATACAAACAAGGCAGTAAGAAAACTTAATTTCAAATATTAGTGAAGTTTAAAACATTATAATCTTTTTTATTTAAACATGAAACTTTAACCACATATTTAAAACTTGTAATGTTAATAGCTTCTAGTATCTAATCCTTGTGAACCAGGGATTGCTTACATATGGTGACCACCCCTGGTTAAGTGTTATCACTGTATTTTACCAAAATTTACTCAATATAATTCTATATACTTATGCAAAACTTATCAAAAAGTACTATCCTTTGGTAACAGTAAAGTGATGAGTACATTTTGTTACATGTGTCAGCTGTGAAGCAGCAGCTTTTTGAAAAGATATTTTTGAAAGGATAATAAAGTGTCCTCTTAGTGATGCCCAACCAACTTGCCATTCTCATCTAACTTGTACTTGCCACTTCTCCTAGCAAGGCATTATTATAAACTACTATCCATCTGGAACAGTGAAGCACTGAAAAGTATTAACTTGTTGGGTGAAGATGATAAAAAATATTGACAGATGAAACCTGGTAGACTAGCCTACACAGATCTACTACACCTCAATCATTGACACTCTTTACAGAATGCTGTAATGCTGTTCTTATTTCCAGTTTTGGCTAACATTTTATTTTAATTCTTATATAGTAATATATTTTCTGAGGTAGTGACATCTGAGTCTGGAGAAAGCCTTCTAACTCCATGGATGCAGACATCTATAATGACATTGTAGACATAGCAATGAAATCATAAGAAAATCAAGTATTGAAAAATCATGTCAGGAATGACCAAACTTGAGTACTTTTTTGTCACATAATAGCATTAAATATGGGGATTGTATATATCACTGAACATACACATTCTTAAATATATCATTCTTAAAAAATAATTCTTTAATGTTAGTATTTAGAAATACAAAATGAGGATTTTAATTATATGGTTCAAAGTAATTGTTATTTAGTGTACAAGTGTATACAGAGGCTTGTGTAGAAGTGTGAGTGTGTGTGGTGATGGTTTCATGGAGATGTGTATATATGTATGTAAACAGCAAAGCCTCACATCTGGCAACTCAAAAAGATACTTCTGCTGAAACTGACTGAATTTGACTTATTTTCCCCCCACCCTTCATCAAGTACATTAAATAATCTCACAAAGCACACAGACATGTATCAGTAGTGCCCAGTGTGTGTGTGTGTAACAGGTAGACATTCACATTGCCACATATAAATTGTAGTGTTAATATGTGGAAGGAGTGAGCTAGCAAATGGCTGACACTGCAAGGGAGGGAAGTTTACAAGGTACAGAATACAAGACAAAAAAGGTAACTGAACTGCAATTCTTAGAAACAGACTGTCAGCAAAAGCTTCTCTCTTGCACAAGATTTCTCATTTGTTCCCCATACTTTCATCAAGACATCTACATCTGATACTCCAAAAAAAGCAGCATTTAATGCCAACAAGCAAAACTGCAGACAACCTCTGTTGCCCAGGAACCAATTAGATTTTTTTCAAGTTTTATTATTTGCATTTGGCAAGGTTTTTCAGGATACCAGTTACTTTCCAAATGCAAGATTTACTGTACATGAATTTCTTGTGTGTGTGTGTCTGTCTTTCTGTATGTATGTGTGTAAATAAATGTATGTATGTATGTATGTATGTATATGCATGAGATGAAATATTGCTATAGTAAGAAAGCAAGAAAGCAAATAATATACTCCTCAGCTGCAGCTTTTTGTGTGTTCCACTCGAGGAAGAGTATACTAGTTTGAATCAACCTGTTGCAGATTTTGTTTCCTTTTTCACTGTAGCAGTATTTCAAATCCTTTAGGTAAAAAAATTAGTAACTGTGCTTTTCTTTTTTTAATGAACAAACTTTCCTATTAAGAAAACACTCACTGAGGTGGCAACTAACCTATCTGTGTTATATGACAGTAAATTCTACAAAAGCTGGTTACATTCCATTAGTATTTTTTTATTTTTTACAGAATTGGTAGTATTTTAAAATGCAAGCACACAATATCGACATAGACCCAACACCAAGGGAAAGCAGGTCATTCCATTTAGTATGTCAGCCCTTTCACTGCAGAATCAATTTTACGTAAATGAGTGCCACAAGTGGATACATCTACCATTGAATTTTGATCATTAGCTTCCAAATGCAGTTAGCCCATAGTCCTCTTTTCAAATTTGTCAATCATTTGTCAGACAATGATTCTCCAACCAGTCACCAAACTCAGTGCTACCCAAAATAGGTGGCCAGGTAGACAAGTAACTTCTGATGGATGAAATATGCAATTTTTGCTCTCAGACAGGTATACCATTGAACAACACTGTGTGTGGGTATGTGTGTGTGTGTGGGTATGTGTGTGTGTGTGTGGGTATTGTGTGTGTGTGTGGGTATGTGTGTGTGGGTATGTGTGTGTAGTGTGTGTGTGTGGGTATGTGAGTGTGTGTGGGTATGTGGTGTGTGTGGGTATGTGTGTGTGTGTGTTGGTATGTGTGTGTGGGGTATGTGTGTATGTGTGTGTGTGTGGGTATATGTTGTGGGTGTGGGGGTGGGGGTATGTGTGTGGTGTGGGGGGGGGGTATGTGTGTTGGGGGTGGGGTGTGTGTGGGGGGGGTTATGTATGGGTATCTTTAACCTCTGACAGACTATCCATTGGGTGCTTGGATCTTCCACTCTTTGCAGCACAATAATCAATTACACCTGCTATTGAGGGAATTTAAAAAGCTGAGACTTGAAGTGGCTGTCCTTTCAGAAGGGAAGAGACTTGGCAGTAGCACAATTTGTGTAGGTGATTACACCTTTTACTGGCCAATGTTTTTAACCCCTTTGATGTGACTATCACGTCATGTAAAAATCTAGATTGAGGGCTAGGTGACATGAACATGCTGTGATGGGACAAATGGACCACAGGCTGGGCGATGCGAACTTGCCGTCATGAATGAAGGCCAGGGTGACAGAAAATATTCGCCACCACTGCACAAATGTCTTGGAGAGTGATTAGACTCATTTGGCATTTAGAAGGGTTTTTTTGCATCATTCCTACTGATAAACAAGTGAGGAATGTGATGTCTGTAAGCCATTATTGGAAGAGTGCCAGCTCTGAGGAGGATGCCATTTCCATGCTCAGCATCCTATTCATGGCCACTGTGACTGGTGGCACAGGTTGTATTACAGATAATTGAATATTACAAAAAATATATATATAAATATGATACAAATAGCAAATGTCAATTTTATTCATTTTTTTCTTGCACCGAGATATTAACTATATAGAGATGATATGGAGTGTGCGCAAGGACATTACCTTCTGGATAAAGCAAATCAAAAGACAGATATGGATATTGGAAAATAGCAAAAAAGCTGAAAACGTTTATGCAAAATAACTTTGTAAAGGGGAGGCATATAGTCTTGTCACAGCATATAAGTGTTTGTGTGTGCCAGGCCTATACACTGAATGCCTGGCACAGCAGACCTTACTTAACCTAATGCCCTCATTTTTTTGGCAATGTGATTACCGAGACACAACCAAATTCAAGGGGTTAACTGTGAAAGAGGTGTCCTACACCAAACTCACACTGGGCACCTGGTTATTTCTCCAAGGATAGTCCTGGCCACCAATTTGTCTCCTCCTGGGACATTCCTGGGTGGTGAAGGACCCTGGGATAACTTAGTAAGGTGTGGCTTGAATAAACCAATCAGAGTTAGAGATGGACCAAGGACCTACTTGGTGGCTTACAATGAGGGACCCTCTTGGATGGAAACAAAAGGTAGATGCAACTATGCATCCCATTTGCATTTGCCCCACTGATCAACTGACTGATTGAGCTAAATATAAAGACCTATGGAGATATACATGGAGCTATAGCTATGTATAGAATTATAGAGCTGCACAGAGCTACTGAGCAATATAATCATATATATATAGATATATGGCTATATGGAGAACAATAGCTATATATAGAACTATAAAATTGATTTCAAAATAACCACAATGATAATTTTGGCAGTCATGAACATCTTTGGCAGATACACCCATTTGAGGCAATGAAAGCAGCTTAGATGATGATTCATGTGAAGGGATTTTGCTTCTGTTCCATGAGAATTTACACAAAGAACATAGGTGTGATCCATTGTAGGTATTGTCTTTTAAACTTTTAACAATAAATAGATACAATGTATCTTGGTTCAATAAAAGATGACCTGTTCCATTAACCCATTTGCTATGGGTTTATGTACTGTCCACTGTAGTTTTTGTGAATTTTGTTGCACACAGATGGTTCCACAAGTACTCAGCCACCATGGTGTCACTTACGAGGCCCTTGTGACCATGTGGATTTCTCCATTTTTAGAATTTGTGGGAAATTTTTTGCTTGTTTTTAAAATTTTGATGCTATTAATATTGACATGGTTATTATAATAATTGCCATTATGAGTAATGTAATGTGATTAAAATACTAATGGCAAAAATAGTTAATGTAAAAATGGATCTTTCCAAAACTCAAGAAAGAGGGTAAACAAGTGAGATAGTAGGACTAATAGCTGACT